TGTAATTTTTCCTCAACAACCCCATTTTTGACTAGCACAGATGTGTGACGAGTGAGAAATACTTCCTTCTGGGCATGCATTAGATTTGCACCATGTATTGCTGTTTATTCTCCTTAGAAGTTTTTACTCATTTACATGCACTTAAGATCTGATTTCAGGATTGATCACTACTCAACAATGGGGAAAGAGGAAGGTGAGAGAACCAGAGAACTTTCCATCAAGAGAGAAGTGATTTAGTGTGCTTAGTATAAGTTACTTCCACAGCCCAAATGTACTAGTCACTATGAAAATTTTCACTATATATGTGCCACAAACAGTGTTCTGAGTGAAGTCAACTGTACAATCTCTGGTCATCTGAAGAAGTGGGCTGTGCCCACAAAAGCTACATACCATCTACATGTTTTGTTAGTCTTTAAAGTGCTATCAGACTATTTGTTGTTTTTTAACTTTATCCTGTACAGACTAACTCGGCTACCCTGACGCTTCTGTACAACCTCAAACTGCTGCTACCATCTGGGATTCCCCCACCCTCTGAACCACAGTTCTAACACCAGACCTGTCTTCACTGTGGTGCATCAAGCTACTCGTTGTCAGAATAACTGAGTGGAAGCCAGAGTTGGGTTCTATTCCTGGATTTGTATAAGCCATGAGCAAGTTAACTTCTTGGGGCCTCGGTTTACTCTGTTACACATTCCAGCAACAGCAAGGCGAAATTGTTCCCCAGTGTGATGATCATGCTACCACTACCCACCTTCTTGCTCTCTGGAGCTCCCCCACCACCCTGTCCTGCTGGGCCAGATCCACTGGTCTCCCCCAGACAAGGCACAGAGTTGGAGTTATGCCTCCCTGCAAAGCAAAGCAGACACTGAACCACTTACGTTCTGGAAGGACACAATTCTAGGGCACAGCTCTCAGGAAACCAACTCTGAAATGGGACCAAAACCCCCCAAATAAATCCCCCTCTCCCTGTGTAAAAGTTTTACACAGAGAAAATTCATTTAAGTTTTCTTTATCAACGAAAGAGACATGCTCAGTGATTGCTCTTGCCTGGTAATTATTTACATTGGGCCTGATAGTAAACAAAAGTGATTTTAGTGACTTTATTAAGTACCATTAATTGTAATGGTTTCAAGTGAAAACAGATCTAAAAAGCTTAAAAAACAACAACAAATAGTCTTGTAGCACCTTAAAGACTAACAAAACATGTAGATGGTATCATGAGCTTTCGTGGGCACAACCCACTTCTTACAAGAGGCTGATAAGAACAATTAGCACCTCCATTGTTAGTTTGGTTGGTTACTCATTAGGATGTGGAAGATAGTGTGCGAGCCAGCCCACATCCCAGTTCATACCATTTGCAAATGAATTACACTTGTGAATAAAGTTAAGTTTCAACCCTTCTCTGTGTATTTGGCTTGGGGAATTGTCCAGAAACACAACTGTGACTTGGAGATCCATTTATGAGTGTCAAGGCAGATTAAACCGTTCTCCAACAGGTTTTTGTGTGTTGCCTTTTTGGATATCTGATTTGTGACCATTAATTCTTTCCTGTAGATCAGGGATGGGCAATAATTGTTGGCGGACGGCCACTTCAAGATTTTGGAAAGTGGTCAAAGGCCGCACTTTTCTGTGGAGGACATGCAGGGTCTAGGATGGAGGTTGGGCACAGAAGGGTGCATGGGGTAAGGGACTGGGGTGCAGGACATGGTGAGGTCTGAGAGAAAGTTTAGGCAAAGGAAGGGGTTGTGAACTAGGTCGGGGATAGGGCTGTAGGTTCAGGGAAGGGGTATGGGTGCAGGAGAGGATTCTGGCCTGGGAGAGGGGCACAAAGTCTGGAAGGGAGCTGTGACCTGGGAGAAGGGGAAAATGGGGATGCAGACTACAGAGGGTGTGGGTGGTGACTTGGGGCAGGGGAATGGGGTGCAGGGTCTGGGAAGGCATTTGGGTACAGGAGTGGATTCTGGCCTGAGGGAGGAGTGCAAGAGGGAGTAGAGGGTCTGGGAGGGAGTTGTGACCTGGGGGAGGGGAGTACAGAGGGTTTGGATGGTGACCTGGGGAGGGAGTTGGAGTTGGGGGTGCAGGAGGGGCAGGGGTGCCAGAGGCAGGCTCTGGCTGGGAGGCACTTACTAAAGTCAGCAGCCCTGCAGCACCCCCAAGGAAGGCTGGGCTCCCTGTCTGCTGCAGCCTGAAATCACTTACAACTGCAAGCTATAAATCCCAGGTGGCTCTCAGCTTGGGGTGGGGGGAAGAGAGAGAGGGGAGATTTGCACTACTCCCATCCTCCAAGCCAATTTCTCAGATCTTATTGGCTATTTGTTCCTATTGGCCAGTTGTTTCTAGCCTCTCAGAGGTGAGGATTCAGCTAGGGGCAAGGAGATTGCATGAATCTTCTCCCTTCCTGCAGAGCAGAGAGATGCACAGGCTGAGCTTTAAACCACACAGCTGCCTGGGACAGAGTCCTGGCCAGGTGGGTGTGCGGGCCAGATCCAGCCCCTGGGCCATATTTTGCTCAGCCCTGCCATAGAGGCTGTCCAGTTTGGCCAAAAAGTAAGATCAAAGTAAGTTATTAAATAAACATGAATAGAAAAGGGATAACTAGCTCTAATTCACTAAGAAACTGGTCATATGCAAATTCTTACTCTAAACAACTGTTCTTATTTCAGGCATCAGCTTCAAAACACAGATGATCTTTTACTCTGATTTTGGTCTCCAGACTTCTTTAAAGTTCTTTTTTCCTCTTAGGGTGTGCCAGGCAGTCTCCAAAGCCAGCTGAAGACAAGGGGGATTGCTTCCCGTTGCTTAGTATTCCCAGCCCTGAGGTAAAGTCTATGTTTTACATCCCTGATTCCATGGGAAAATACCAGGTTCAAAATGGATTTCAGTACCAGGTGGTATAGTCACCTGTCTTCCTAGGATGAACCATGACTTGGACTTACAGGATAAGCAAGACTATATACAAATTTATCACCAAGCCATTAGGCTTCCAGGGCACTAGTAAGGGCTCTCATTAACACAATTAAAACTATAAACAGACTCATACTTCATAACTTCACACACAAGAATGATACATGCACCAAAATAGGATATACACATCCAGCAGATTGTAACATTAAAATTGATGTTACAAAAGGTATTTTGTTTAAAGGATCTTTGAGTTATACAGTTTCACAAGTTAATTTTCATGAAGCATGCCACACATAAAGCTCAGATTTCTGCCACAATCTCACAAACACAATCATGATCTAGTAAGAGTGTCTGAATAAACTGCAATACAGGTCCTCATTTTCCTAGTTTAGACAAAAGAAATCCTTATATATTAGGGATGTAATAGTGTAGTCGACTAACTGATAAGCAAAAGCTAATAGGTTAATGATATAGACTACACGCATTCCCTCTCCCCTGCTGCCAGTAATTTTTCTAGCAGGCTGGCCAGCAGCCCAGCTCAGTCCTGGCTTATAGCAGGTCTGGGACCTACCCCTGCTGCAGCTCTGCATTTAAAATGTATTAGGAGCCAGGCAGGCAAGGCAGCCCAGCTCAGTTCCAGCTCGCACTGGTTGTGCTCAAGAATGCTCATATGACCATCTACATATTTTGTTAGTCTCTAAGGTGCTGCAGGACTTTTTAAATTTTTTTAAATTGAATTGGTTATCATCCCAACTAAAATGTTTAAGGAACTGGTTTTCTATGACACTGTATACTAAATTTCAGCCAGTGAAAAATCATGGAGTAGTCCTATAGCACTTTAGACACTAACAACAAATTTATTTTATGTATATGTATAAGCAGCTTTCGTGGGCAAATCCCACTTCCTCAGATAAGCAGAAAACTCATAATTTATGGCAAAAATAGGAAGTTTGCAACAGAATCCATGTATTTCTTGCATCAATGAAGTAGTTAATGTGATTCTTTTGCACAAATGGAATTTAAGTTTGCCTTTAAAGGGGCCTTTTCATCACTCCTTGAACAGGCTACTATTTCTTAGCCCCAACTCCGAAAAAAATTAAAGGTTTGTAATTGTTTGCAGGTTAATAGTCCCAGTGAAGAATATTCACATTCACAAAGTTATTTATGTGCTTAAAATCTTTGTGGGATTGGGTTTTTAAAGAACATGGTTTTTAATCCTCAGCCATCTATGTCCAGGTTATTTTGGAGAATAAAGATATGGATTTCAACTTTTTAAAGCTAAACCGCTAATGGCTCAATTGCTTAGAAGAAAAAGTATCCATCTTGTTTTATCCATAACAAACATGGTGATATTAACCATAGAATTAAAAAAAAAACCTTATATGAATACAAACTAGACTTTAGTTATTCTGAAAGCAGCATAGTTTAGAATCTTTATACAAAACACGCACTATAATCCGTTACCAAATCCCCATTTTCTGTTTTTGTTGCATACATTCTTCATTTGTTCTTTCTAGATTCTTCTTCAGTTTTAGGCATATATATTTTTTTAAAAAGCAAATATAAATTTATGCTGGACTCCTACTCTTCAATAAATTGAGAAACTTACACACAAAACCCATCTAATCTATCCCAGGAATCCACTCACACCTTTACAATTCCATTAAATACTCAGTGTTACAGATTTACCGCTGAAAACTAACACCACAGAAGAAGAAGAAGAAAATCAGTATCAATATTTAGCAGCGTGATGGCAAAAAGATGACCCAATTTTTCTTCCATGCAAATCTTTCTGGCAGGGGGCAAAGGGATGAAACACTAAGTTGTGGATTACTATCAAAGGGTGCATCTCTAGAAAAAAAATAATCCAGTTAATAGTACTTCTCAGCTACTGGTCTATGCTCTAGCTCTCTGCCATTAAAAACAAGCGGGCTGGAAGATGCTGTCGAAGAGCAGCCCAAGGGGTCAGAAGGGCTGTGGAGGAGACACGGGGGAGGAAATGGGATAGTGTGTGGGTGGGTGGGGGGTATTTCCAGAGATGGTGGGGCCCGAGTGACTCGGGAGAAGAGGGCTCGCTAAGCCTCCGCGGCTCTTACCTTGAGGATATCCCCCCGTTTGAAGCTCAGCTCGTCGTCCGCGGTGGCTTTGAAATCGTACTTGGCGATGGCTTCCATGCTGGGGCTGCTCCGCGAACAGCGGCGCGGGGGGGGGCTCGCGGGGGGTGGCTGGGAAGGGAGCTCTCCCTCCGGCGCAGCCCTGCCTCGCTCCGGCTCCGTCTACCCCACTCACGGGCGGCCCTAGGGGAGGTGGAGGAAGAGACCGACCATCAGGGGAAGTGTGGCACGGACGGATGGCAGGGGCCGCGCCCTGCTCCTCTCCCTCCTCCCGAGCCAGACCCGGCCGCCGCTTCCGCTTTCCGCCGCTTCCTCCTCAAGCCGGGGCTCCGCCCGGAAGCAGCCAGAGAGGAGTGACATGGAAAGCGGCCAATAGCAGCTAGGACTGCAGCGCACAGGGCAACGCGCAGGCGCACCCCATCCAAAGAGCTGGGTGCTCCTGCGCGTGCTTTCTCGGCCCCCGGCCTCATTGCACTAGGCCGCAGCGCGCTCTCCCCTTGGGGACTCCATATTCGCGCTGTGGGGACACACAGAAAGCACCCACACTCCTAGCCCCCCCATGAACTCAGGGCAGGACCAAGCCCCATCTAGACTATCCCTGACAGGGGTGGGTCTAACCTGCTCTGAAATAGCTCCACAGCCTCCCTAGGCAATTTATCCCAGCGCTTAACCACCCCGACAGGAAGTTTTCCCTAGTGTCGGACTAAACCTCCCATTGTTTCTGGGCCTATCCTCGTGGGCTAAGGAGCAGGATTTTTCTCCCTCCTCCTTGTAACACCCTTTTATGTACTTGAAAACTACTATCATGGCCCCTCTTCTCTAGACTAAACAAATCCCAGTCTTCCTCATAGCTCATGCTTCCTAGACTTTCTGTTGCTCTTCTTTGGACTTTCTCCAAGTTGTCCACATCTTTCCTGAAAGGTGGCGCCCAGAACTGGACACAATGCTCCAGTTGAGGCCTAATCAGTGTAGCATAGAGTGGAAACATTACTTCTTGTGTCTTCTTTACAACACTACTGCTAATACATCCCAGAATTTTTTATTTTTTTTTGCAAGAGTGTTCGAAACACTGTCAACTCACTTAGCTTGAGGTATACCATGGGGGAGGAAACCGTGCCTTCATGATCTTACCCACTTGTGATATCAAGTCCCACCTTCCACCCCCAAGACAGTGTATGCATGCGCCCACACCTTTTCATCCTTCAAGCATCTTAATAAGAACAGAACTGTCGCTGCTCAGATAAGTGGGAGAGGGAAGAACACACTCTCAGGAGGGAAGCTAGGGAGAAACTTTAGAATTGAAAAAATTATATAGCCTAAATGTTTTTTATTTCCTTCTATTTTTTAAGTGAGACGATATATGGGATTACATTCAAGGGCATAATTCTCCTATCACAGGACAGAATCAAAGCAAATTAGCCTAGTCCACCCTAGAAAAAGAGGGCCATTTAGAAGTGTCATAACCCTCTCCCCTGAGCAAGATTGTACTCCTAAGCAATATCTTCTATACCAGCAGAAGTTTCTAGTGTAGACCTGACCTAAGATATTTCGATACACCAACCCATCAAAAAGCAAATCAAATGAACAGACATCCATTAAAATGTGCACACTTTTTTCTTTGTCTGTGGCCCATTTCCAAATACGCCAACAGCCTGCTTCAATAGAGAAATAAAATCCCCTTTGACTGCTCACCCCTTGCTACGCAATATAACTGACTACAGCCTATAATTGATGGGAATCTCATCCTGAACAAAATCTTTCCTGAACCTCACTTCTGGCCCTCAAACAACCCCCAACTTTTCCTAGCTCAAACACACCAACAAAAACCACACTAACTCAAAGTGGCACCAGAGCATGTCAGAACAGCAGATGCAAAGGCTGCAGACATAGCTTTCCACTGCTGCAATGCTCACCATGCTCCCTCCCCCAAAACACATCTTTCAAGATCCATGGACCCTATATACATGCCTACCACAATATGTGATTGTGACAGGTTCCCCTTGCGTGCCATCTGGAATTGGGGTACCACTGAGCCCACTTAACCCACTAGCCTGGGTTCCCTTCAATACTGTACTGCAATGACAAGATGACACATCCTCGCCAAGGCTCTAACTTAAGCTTTTACCAGCATATATATAAACCCAGCTGCTACATAGTCCTGTTTTTTGTTTCAGCTACACCAGACTAACACGGCTACATTTCTATCACTATTATTTTGAATGACTGACAATTCAATGCAAAGAGGTCCTGAGGCTGTTAATTATCAGTTGCTAGTTGCTACATAGAACAAGTTTTTGTTACATAGCACTCATAACCTAAGTTCTTTCTAAGTTGCATGACCATGCAGCAAGCTATCAAGGACTGTGCAAGAAGGGAGAGGTACCCCTCTCTTGGTCTAGCCTAGCCTGAGCTGCTGTGGTCAGGGAGTTGCACTCCTACCCCATCCAGAGCTGCCGTGGCCTGAGAAAGGTGCCACAGCCCAGGCCAGCTCCACTCAACAGAAAATGCACCACTGTGCAGTAGCCCCAGAAAACAACCAGATGAAAATGTCAGTCACACTTCAATCAAGTTACATAAGGAAAATAATTCACGAATAAGAAAAATCGCCGCTTCATTTTCCTGTCTAGTAAATTCATCTACATGGCTCCGTCGACGTGTTGGGCCTTGCCTAACTGATCAACTAGCTCAATTTGGGATATTTCATTTAACTTCCGGGGGTTATTACAAAACTTCAGGGTGCCATCAGGCTTTGGGACTAGGGCTGGACCATTGGCTGTGGGGTTTTTCAATCACCCCGAGTTCCAGCATCACCTCCATCTTAACTTCTTCACTTTTGGCCTCCAGTATGGTTTCATCTTCACCCTTGCTCTGGGACAGATGACAATATAGTGTTGGACCATCATCCTACAGCCTGGCTGCATGGAGAACACCCCTTAGTTCCACTTGATAATGTCAATGATGTTTGTTCATTGTTCTGGAGTTAATTCAGGGATAACTGCCTTTGTGGGCCATCTGCCTGGGGTAGAGCTCCCTGTGTGACCAGGAATGTCTACCAGTTACACCATGCTTTCTGATAGTTAACACTGTGGATCTGCTCTGGCCTTTGGCAGTCTGGTTGCTTTATCTTGTAGTCTGCTTCCCCAGCAACTTCCACTATCTCATATATGGCCCATGCCAGCTGGCCAGTAGCTTGCTTTCTGCTATTGGTACCAGCACCTGGTATCCTGTCTAAAATCTCTGTTTTCACCCAGTGGCTGTCATAGGTCTTCTGGGCCTTCTTCCAACTGCTCTTATACTTTGGGGTCAGTTGCACTATTTTCTCTCTCTAGAGCTATGTGCTCTATGACATTCTTCTCTGGGTTGGGCTGTTCTTAATCCTGCTTCATGATATTTAACATGCCACAAGAGTGGAGAATCCCATAGACACTTTGGGGACCTCCTGTATTGCAAACATCAGGTACAGTATCAGGGTATCCCAGTCTTTTCCATCCTGGGACACTGCCTTCCAGATCATGCTCTCGGGGGTATGATTAAATTGCTCGACCAGGCCATCGGTTGGAGAGCGGTAGACTGAGTCCACAAAGCCTGGATGTAGAGCAGTGTGCATATGTCCCACATTAATTTTGACCTGACGGGAGTTCCTTGGTTGGTCAGGATTTCCTTAGGGATGCTCACTCTCACAAAAACCTGGAACAATTCTTTTGCTATTGCCTAGGATGTGGGATTTCTTAGGGGAATGACTTATGGATACCTTGCGGCATAGCCAAGGATGACAAGTATACTTTGATGCCCCAGACCAAACTTCCGAGTGGGCCCACTAGGTCCATGGCTATTCTTTTTTAAAAGGACTTCAGTAACAGGGCCTGTAAGTGAGGTTGGGGGCTATGCAATGGGTGTTCTGGACAAGAGGCTCAGTAGCGCTAGACTTCCACCCATACCCCAGGCCAGTAAAATCTCTTTCAGGACTCTGTACAGGGTCCCCAAATAAATGGCTGTGAGCTTACTCTAAAATTGCCCTTGTGTGCTTCTGTGCTGCTAAGAGCTGTTCTACTTCCCTTCATATTTGTGCTACTTGTTGTTTTCCTCCACTACCTTCTCCCTTATATTTGCATATAGAATGTGTGACAGTTACTCCCACCCTTGCTTTATGAAAATTGGCTTGTGAATATAGAGGTACGTAACTTGGAGATGCTTTAGACAAAATACTTCATGTAAGCTATCAATTTTAATGTTACAATCTGCTGGATCTGTATACCCTATTTTGGTGCATGTATCATTCTTGTATGTAAAGTTATGAAGTATGAGTCTGTTTATAGTTTTAAGGTTCTAATGAGAGCCATTACTAGAAGCCTAATGACTGGTGATCAGCTCAATGGCTTGTAAACAGCTTTGTTTGTCTTGTAAGTCCAAAGGTGGTTGGACTAGAAACAGGGCCGGACCGAGCCCTTTTGGCGCTCTAGGCCCAGGCGTGCGGCGCTGCCCTGGGCACAGGGCGCATGCGCAGGCCCACCTGTGGGGTGCAGGCCCACCCCCTCCGGGTTCGCGGGTCCGCCCCCGGGATGCACGGCACATGCGCCGCCCAGCCTGGCCTAGCCAGTGCTGCTAGCACATGTGCCAGGCCGTGCATGGCCCCGCAGCCATAAGGGCAAGGGCGCTGCTGTCTGGCGCCGCGGCGCGCGGCTCCTGATGGCAGCTGTAAGGGACGCCGCGCGCCTCTTACAGCTGCCATCAGGCGCCCCCCGTGGGTTGGCGCCCTGGGCAGCTGCCCAGCTCACCCATGCCTCCATCCGGCCATGACTAGAAAGACATGTGGCCATGCCTGCTCGTACTGGAGATGCATTTTGAACCTGGGCATTTTCCTTGGGAACGGCCTGCCAAAAAAGGGTTCCTACCCTGGGGGAAAGACTAAGCCATGGGTAGCAAGCCCCTTGGACTTTAGCTAGTCTGGGAAACAGCCTGGCACATCCTAAAACAGTGTTTCTTAAACTTTTTAAGATCAAGGAACACCAAACAATAATTTTTTTAATGAGGTCAGGGGGGTAAAGGGTTGGGGGAAAAGTTATTGAGGGGAGGAAAAAAAGGTCACCTGCCCCTTTAAGGATGGCCATTTTGAACTCTGTTGTTCTCCGTGGCACACTTCTGACTGCCTCACGGCACACTGCGAAACACAGTTTAAGAAACACTGCCCTAAAAGGATACAAAAGAACTTTAAAGAGGACTGGAGATCTAAGTCAGAGACAAAGAGTTTGTCACTGACTTGAAGATTACGCCTGTAATAAGGACAGCTCTAAGGATGTCTACACTTGCACCCTCTTT